ATAACACAATATATATGCATGTTGTGTACAATGATGACGCATTTGTGTATACACACACACACACCCAGAGTAAAGACAGGCGGCCAACATGGTGCATGTATGTGTGTGTGTGTCCGAAACGAACAGAACTTGAAAACAATTCTTCATATCTTTGTGTAAGACAATAAATACACACTACTGTAATTTTTTTTCATAAAGCACATTCGATAATCAGTCGACCCTTGTTGAGAATGTTTTTTTGTTTTCTTTATGTCCTCTGAAGATAATGGTCACCACCTAAGAAAACTTAAAAATAAAGCGCAACAGGTTGACTTCTATGTATAAACAAAAGAAGGAAGGCTAGAATGTGAATCAGTCATTTAATGTGTGTATGAGACAGGGTGGAGGATATTGTGTTAGTTCAACTTCTGCATTACCTATGTTTTGTTTGTGTGCGTGAAATTACGCAAAATACAAACTATATTTACACATCACAATACATTTAGACAAGATCTTAGGCTTTATATAATATCTCCATTTCGCAGTATAACACCACTTATCCTCTCTCACATATTTTTCATCGTGTCCCCTACCCTTCACCACTCTCACACATGAATATATATATAATGACTCATTCACCTGTCTAATTGTCTATCTTATTTTATTAGTATCATGTGATCGTCTGAACAACAATAAAATTATTGATTATTTCACTTCGATTTATATGAGAGAGAAGAAGAAGTAGGACTCGATAAGAATAGACGCTTTCAATAATGCACTTCACGCTACCTAGACCTACCTAGTTAACGTGTCTCTGTGTTTAATATATATTTTGTATGAGTCATCAAACATGTCTGTGATACATACACTCTTATCGATCAAAACAACTGACAGACTGCTTTCAAACATAGAATTTTGCAAAGATATATGCGCAGCAATTCGAGTTGCCACTCTCTCTCTCTCTCTCCATGTAGCATACAAAAAGCAGGAGAAGACAGTAAGTAAAGAGAGATAGTAAAAAGAAGTCTGATTGAGGGAAAAAGAATAGTATTATGGAAGAGCAATAGAGTTTTCTGGCATATTATAAATCACAAAGAGTGAATGCATCCGCGCCAGCCACTGACAACGAGGATTTTGACAGACATCACCAATTGTCTCCAGTCGACATTGGTTTGATTTTCACCAATTTGAGGACTCCAACCAGACAGCAGTCTATACTTCCTTAAACTGACTGTTATAGATTTCACTGACTGATGAAGCCATATTTTGGTTTGGCCACCTCTAGCTTTCCCTTTTCCAACCTGATCCATCCTATGCCAGTCAGCTGACATTGACCGTCAAGGAATGCGATGAATGCACAACACATGTCCTAACCATCTCTCTCAACCGATGTAACTTCACGACCTCATTGATTGATTTCCCCTTTTTACCTAACACTAGACGCCTAACCTGTAGATTACTCAGTCTATTTATACCACCTAACAGTCACAGTCGCCAAAGTAGCAGATGGAGTGTTTGGTTCGAACATACAACATTCGAGTGACTAAACTGATATATAACAGCAAGATATTGTAATAATTATGAAAAATGAGGAAAAAAACTCTTAGAGTGAAATGAAAGAAAGATAATATTATAACCAGCTTTTGAATCTTTAATATGAGTCGGTGAACGCTTGGCTTAAGCGCTCGATGTTTAATCCGATGAGTTATGCGTCCGAGTCCCACTCCACCCACTTCCCAGACTGGAGGACATCTGTGGGTAGTAGTAGTAGCGTCATCAGCCTTCATACAATAAGTGTGGCTCACAGACCCCTGCAGTACATGAAAAATCGATTCCCCAACAGTAAATGAACTTAAACACACACTGATTTATAACAATGCTGCAGCATTCACTGTTTTGAGAATATTGCATGAAGGCAGGATAGTCTTATTAAACCCTTTTCAACAGGATACAACACGCATCGAATGGCCAATACACATGAGTCTACCATAGGAGAACAATTGAATTGATTTGTGCACATCTAAGTGTTCAGATGGGAGATCTTGCTTTTTAAGGCTCCTTGAGTCGGATATGAGTGGAAAGAGATTCAATTAAACTTTGTTTACGTTTAAACGGGACCCTCAACTGCAGAAACGTGTCAGCTAACAGTTCTATGTGTATTTCTCATTAACAGAACACTTCTTAAGGTTCCGTCAGGTCTTCTCGTTAGTTGTTCAACATCAAGGAAGGGAATACTAAGATTTGTTTCCCATTTTAAGAGTGGATTTTTATTGCTGGATGGATGACAGTTTTTAAATACTTGGTAACAAGTGATCAAGCTCATAATTATTGTCACAAATGATAAAAAAATGTCATCTATAGATCTGAAGAAGCCTTGAAAGACTAGATCTCTGATCTGAACACTTAGATGTGCACAAATATCACTTCATCACCTGTTTTCCTGTGATGGTGGAATCAGGTATACTGGTCATTCGACGCGTATCTTATTGAATAAAGGCTGCAAGAACACTATCTCGCATGACTATTATAAAGATGCACCAAAGAAGCACAGAAATCCCACAATATCTGCTGTACGTAGAATAAACACCAATTGCACAAAACAAAACATGTAGATCAGCGAAGAGTCTCTTTACGGCGTATTCATTTTCTTAGCTGTCCAGCATGGTTGCGAAAAGGCAATAGTGGTGCAATAAGGAGTGTGATAATTGAACATCTGGTTAACACTGATCATTCCATTTCAACAAACGCCTCCTTCAAAGTAATCTACACAGTCAAGAACAACCTATCAAAGGCTATACGGTTTCGCCTTCTTTGTATCGCTGAAGCTCTGGCCATTCACACAGAAAAACCGGAGCTGTGTATACAAAAAAGGATTACTCAACCACTTCTACTGTCTTGGTAACAACTTTTTTGATTTGATTTTTTTTATTTTGATGACTTAATTTTGTTTCTTTGCCTGTTCTTTAATTGCTTATGATTCTTGTATTTACTTAGAACTCTTACGTAATTTCGTATTATCTACTTTGTTCCCATGTGTATCCTGAGTTAAACTCACTCATCAAACTATTCATATTATTACATAACTTCTTTTAACAACTGTTTGTGACAACTCATCACCTTCGTTACTACACTAATTTGATTAACACCTAATTTTCTTGACTGATTTTGCATTACGTAACTCCAATTACCAATCTTCACCTGTTTTGTTAAAATAACTATAACCAATAGTATTTTTGTTTGACAAACTCAATGTACACATACATACAGAATAACACATATATATTTGCGATTGTACAGCTAAGAAAATGAATTCGCCAAAAAGGGACTCTTAGCTGATCTACATGTTTTGTTTTCATTAATGCTTGGATGGGGATTATACATGTATTACACAAAACCATCAGGCTTCGTGTGCTTTTGGAAGTGTGTGGGCGGTTGTTACTTCCCGGCTGCCCACACCGTGGAAGTTGATTGATTTTTCGAGTACCTGAAACAGAAGGAGGGTTAGTGTTGCGTGATCTTTCATATTCCTTTCTACCATTACTCATTCTGTTTCACTCTTATACTTGTCTACATTCTATTGATTCTCTTCACTCATTTTCTTGTCTACCTTTGTGTGATATTTGGAACGTGGCAACTCGAACTGCTGCACTTCGGTGCCAAGTACTATGTTGAATCCAGCAGCAGCAGTGTTGCGTGACCGTAGAGCCCAGGGGACGACCGCTTGAGGCCGGTCACACACAGCCTGTATGATCTGGTTTCTTGGTTTGGTTCCGTATTAGTAAACTTACCGCCGGTTACGGACCACCGTAGGGTAAGTCGGGATGTACAATTTTCGGGGTCGACGTTTTCTAAACCCCTCTCTCCAGAGTGGAGAGACAGCATAGCTGGCATGCTGGTCATCTGAGGGAAACACCTTACTGCTGTTACATCCCCCCTGTTCCCCAGCAGTACGACTTCGCCCTCAGACCCCCAGCATAGCGTAAGAAAGATTCTTACACAATGCCGGTGACTGCTTTTAGTCTAATCGCTATCCTACCAACCTTCCTGACATGGTAGGACCTGCAGGAACATTGGTTCCAGCCAGTGTAGCTTGTTGAGTCATCGCGATGTGCAAGCCCGACCACCACGTCAAGGTAGCAGCTATCAGTCGAGACACACAAAACCATCAACGTAATAAACTTGTTTTAAGTGGACAGTTATTGAGGTTATTTTTAATGAAAATCTGCACACAGTGCTTAACATCACATCGCATACACATACACACACAGCTTATTTATCCAGTTTGCATAGACACTCAACAATCAAATGCAGATTCCATAATGCTTGAGGTAATGAGCCACATCAATTCTGTTTGAAAAATATGAATACTATATTCAAGTATTGGTTTTTGTAGGGATTTAGGTTGATTGGTTGGAAGATTTCATCATAAGCTGAGCTGACATCGGTTAGAGAACCATTAGAAAACCTCAACAAAGTACTGGACAGCTATTTTGTCGGCCTAGTTTGGGACTCTTCAGCAGTACGCACCCACCACAGGGGGTTCGAATCCAGGATCTTTTGATTACAAGGCGAGCTCGTAGATTATTAAACCACTGGGACTCGATTCAATGGCCAGTCAATGAATTCTAACTACATATAACTGGTGATTATTCAAACACAGCAAATGGTTTAAAGCCTTATGTGACACATATTGGTTAAAAGGCATGTGTCAAAGCACAGATAAACAACAGTTGCACACAAATGTCTAGTTAAGTCCATTTGAATCTCCAGGATAACATTAAAATTACCACTTACAAATTACAAACTTGATCAACTTCATTGGATCAGATCAATATAATGTTTTTTTTTTGACACAAAATTAGATAAGACAAAAACATACAATGAGAGACAACGGCGAAAATAATGAAGATATCTGCTTTAATATAAAATTGATTTTCAGATAGTTCATAAGATTATATAAAACGTATAAGAATTCTGAAAAAACAACCCCCCCACACACACACAAAGTTGAAGGTACTTACCACCTCCTTGCATCAGCCGGTAAATTTTAGCCTCAATTTGAAGTTGTGGATGTTTAGCTTTGACGCATTCTAGTTTTATGGCTACCTCTTCATTGTTTGTAACATCGGTACCTGTATAGTTTAAGGTGGGATGGGGGTAGGGAGGAAAATAACAAAAATAATATGATTATTTCACATATAAACTCAGTGTACAATATTATGGAAATCAAGAGTTATGGTTACAGATCAATGTGTAAAGAAAACAGGGATGTCATCGAGAAAGCAGGCAGCATGTTCGCAATAGATTGAGATTCTTGCCCATATCTGATAAGGTTTTGAACCACCGTTTCAAAATATCTCTTTTGGGCTCAAATCAGGAAGTTGTGATATGCTTACTGATGCTAATCTACCACGGTACCAAGTCATAGACCAACCTCTCAGATTTTGGCACTTAGTTCTACAGTTTGCGAATAAAGACCAGTGAGGAAATCTCCATGCAAGCATTTCAAGATGACGACACTCAATGGGTGGTGACTTTCATCGTCTTCTCAACACACATCACCAACGGATCTCGGAGTTACTTACAAGACGATTCTATCAGACGCAAGGAATTCTACGAAGACAGCGACGATGGAATACACAGAGTCGCCACAGGAGAATAGAGACCGCAAGCACCGAATCATTGTAGACCTGACTTTTGACAGTCAGGTTGGCGTTGCAACGAAGCAACAGGCGGCTCAAATTGGCTAATGCCAACCTAGCTTTCACTGTATAACTAGATATTTCGTCCGTCACACCTCAGTCGGCACTCAAACAAATATACCTAGATACACGAACTTTTCGACGACTTTGAGAGGTTCACCTGCAAGATGAAGTGTAGATATGGGCTCCTGTCAATCTTGAAATAGTACTTTGCAATTAGATGACGCAAAGCATATATCATACTTATAGGTACTGATCATCAATTGATTTAGTCTACAATCCCAGTTACAATCACTCTTTCGCTGCAATGCATTTTTTGGTACTAGAGTTTAAAAAGGACCAATAACCTAATGCATACACATTAATCACCTTATGAAGTAAAAATGTGAGTCGGTGGCACAGCGGTAGACTGCTCGCCAGCCACGCCTCATGTGGTCCGGGGTTCGATCCCCGGCCATGGACGCACTCCTTTACCTCCCTAAGCTAGTAATAAGACTGGTAAAGAGGGAAGGTTGGGCATGAGACTAGAGACCCTATCCCGTGAAAATAAACACATCTAGCTTGAAGTCCTATGTAGGATCCACTGAAGACGTGAAGGAATAAATATAATAATAAATAAATGAAGTAATAATCATGGAATACGGTGAACGGTATACACGTTTTGTATCCCATTAGTAACAGACTAACTGCGAAGTGATTTACGCGTTTAACAAAGAAAATAAGTCAGTTTATTCACAAAACGCTTAATTTTGATTATGTTTGAGAAAACAAAACTTATTTTAGGAGCGAATAGTAACATTGTAAAGTAACAGCTTCAATATTACAATACAATGAACATTTTAATCGGAATACTACATGACTGTTTTAATATTTGAAAAGACTATAACGTTTCATCAGTAAAAGCTTTATATATATGCACGGTGAAATGACAGTCTATCTGGCTAAGGTTCTCAAGACAAAACGCTAAGAAAGTGACCTGAGACTGTTGGTACCGTTGGCTCAGAGTTATTTTCAACGATGCAGATGCATTCATTCTTTGTATTCTTCTCCGATCTATTCAATTCTCATTGTTTTCCATATGAATATTCCTTTCCGCGTACATTTCTGCCTACTATAGTAATGTAATCGATGGGGAAGGCGAGGCTTTTTGTACATGCATGACACACGTGTCCTAGCCATTAAAATCGATGCAACTCTCTATAACACAATCGAATGATTCTCTTTATTTATCAAACACTTTACACCTAACCTTGTTATCACTGAAAATAGTGTACCTCCCTCCTAACATGATACACAGAACACAGACACACCTATGGTTAAAAACAGATAACCTATTCTTATCTTCCACTTCTAATGGCTACGTCTCACTAATGTAAAGAAATACGGGCTGAATTGTTGTCCTTTGGAGGAGAGCCGGACACTACACCTATGCCAAAGATGATACAAACTGGAAAACGCCAAACTATCCATTTTTTGTATCAAAGCTGAGATTTCCGTAAATAATTAGTAGATGAGAGCACTGATTCAACTTGACAAATAACTGAAGTCGGCAACACGCCCTACCACTTGGCTCGTTATCTTTAAACTAGGAGGTGGTGTAAGTTCAGCTCATCAACATCATCTTGCATTTGACAGAAGCGAATTGCATGCCAAGCATTCGGAAATTTCTGTTGAAGGTGCTCAGAAGACTTAGTATTTTGTCAAAGTCTTCAGTCCATGAAATCCTTGACAGTTAAACTGAGTCAGGTAGGGAGATGCAGACTTCCGGGTTGGGGCCCACCCTCGGGACTCTAAGAATCAATGGCTGGAGACAATAGGCGACATGGCTCAAAGCCGTTGTCAATGGCGCAGATGTATTCAGTCTCTGTAATCTCTCACATTCCTTTCTACCATCACTCATTCTGTTTCACTCTTATACTTGTCAAAACTCTATTGATTCTCTTCACTCATTTTCTTGTCTACCTTTGTGTGATATTTGGAACGTGGCAACTCGAACTGCTGCACTTCGATGCCAAGTTCTATGTTGAATCCAGACAAAGTCTTCATATAGGAGAAAGATATCATCCGTATACTCTAAATTTGACGAGACTGTTTCACATTAGCAAGGCAATCTCTACGTCGTTAAAGTCAAAGAACATTTTTTCAAAAATTCATCTAGTGAAACGATAAAGCTACACAAATAGAAATGACAGAGGTTATGGATGTACCGCACACTGAACCTAGGAAAAATCTTAACGTGGACCAATGGTATCAAGGATAAAAGTGCAATAGGTTCAGCTCAACAACAACAACAACAACAACAACTAGTGGGAAATGATGAACTATTTGAGAGTTGAGTCACTAAACAATCAGAGCATACATGTTCAATACTGGCAAGCAATTAGAATTAATAATACAGTCAGTCAAAACGAGCATACGGAGAAGTAAGTGGATTTAACACCAGTAAATACCTCACTGTTATCCGGTAAAAAAAACTGTCATTTTCCAGAAATTTAATGTAGTTATCAAACTGACAATCATCACATCAATTAGTTAATGATACTTCCTAAATGGTTTGAGAATTAGTTTGTGAGTTATTGATTTGTTTCAGGTTTCACCATGGATTGATATCAGTTAGAGAACCATTGAAAACCAGAAGGGACTACTGGTCACCTGCGTCGTCTTAGTTCGGAACCTCTCAATCAGTACGCACCCACACCGCCAGGGTTCAAACACAGGAGCTTCCGGTTACAAGTCAAGCTCATAGACTATTCTGCCAATGAGAACCAACTGAATGGCCCATGAATTCCAATTTCTGTCAATTCGTAATTTTAACTCGAACACGCTTCAATACCATCGGGGAGTATTTGTCCTCCCTCCCGACCCGCTATCAATCCGTAGTCAAGCTTGAAACACACAAAATTCCTACGAATAAACTCTTGAAAATTTATCTGATGCTCACTAGTGACTGGCTACAGGAAGAAGTTGCCTGGAGTACTAATGAGAAGTCGTCACTAGTGGGGTAAATACTCGCCAACGACACTGGTTAGTGGTCTTGCTAAAGTCACGAATCGGTAGAGGTTGTAGTTTTGTGGGCCCTTGGCAGGGGTCCCAGTGGCTGAATGGTATACGAGCTGGCCTTGTAACCTGAAGGTCATGGGTTCGAACCCCAGCGGGCGGTGCATACTGTCGATGAGTCCCAAGCTACGACGAAACAGCTATCCAGTACTCCGTGCTAGTTTTCAATGGTTCTCTCTAACTGACATCAATCCGTCGTCAGACCTTTGTGTAATTAGTCAGCTATTTATGCACTTGAGTGTACAATGCAAACATCTTCGAAGCAAAATTCGAAACACTTAACAAAAAACAGACTGATTATTAAATGTTTTCAAAAAAAATATACTCCCGCTGATTTTCAATGGCAAAATGCTTGCCAGCCACTCCAGAGGTCTACGTTCGATTCTCCATCGATCCACTCCAAAACATTTTTGCTAGTTTACTAACACTAACACTAACTAGCTAGTAGTAAGCCTGGAGAAAGAGGGAAGGTTGAGTGGGAGGCTAGCAACCTCATCATGTAGAAGTAGTTTCACCGCTGCTGAAACTCTTCAAGAGCTTGAGGAGCTCTCTATTTCATCAATCGGAACACAAGGAATGGGATAAAACAGGATAAAAGACGGGGCTAACTGAATAAGTTCCACTTTTACACATTTATATTTATGTATTCGGAAAGGCTTGTTGTGCTACAACGCACACACACACACCTCCCCACGTGATATGAACAACTTAACAGCTTGCAGGCATAAACTGAAAACTAATCTCTGTAATATGTTTCATATGAGATTAATTCAATTTTAGTTTGTTTATTAGATACATACCAAAGTTGTGAATACTATGCGTGATCAATAGGATGTATGTTCATAAAGTTATCCCAGTATTATATATATATATATATATATATATATATATATATATATATATATATATATATATATATGTAATACGATACTGTCCCGCGGTGATATAATCTAATAAAACACCACAACTGGAACATGAAAGAAGAAAACTTTACTCTTTCACATATCAATAAGTTTTATTTATTCCTATCTGATTTTTTGATTATAGCTTGAAATCACACCGTATTTTTGGTACAAGTATGGAACTTTTAGCATGCGATATCGGTAGTCCAAATTTTGCAGGTCGACCGTTGATATCAGGTGTGCGTTGGCAGGGGATCGAACCCCGGACCATGTGCATGGTCGGCGAGAGTCCTAACCGCTGTGCCACCGACGCACTTTACCCTTTCATATATCAATAAGTTTTATTTCATTGCCTTGTTTTCCTCACATATTTTTTTTCATGGGGTTTCAATATCTGGATACACACAGAGGAGAGGAAAAAGTGAGTTGGAGATCTATTCTATCAGCTTTACTTACCTGTTGTCTATTCAC